CTTTTGGGGGATTTTAGATGGCTCCCCCCCAAAAAAAACCTCCTGCACAAGGCAAAAGAATGCCTATTTATAGGTGAACTTAGGGTGCAACTCCAGATTTTCATTTTTACCCCTTAGTCCCTATTTCAATTCTACTCTTACCCTTTATTTTCTGACTTGTTATACAAGTAAGTGCACCTATTTATCTAAAATCTACACTAGAGTCTATTCTAGAAGATTCTATACCCCTTATAATCCCCATTCTACCCCTACCTCAATTCCACAATTACCAAATCAGATTAATATACCCTTTTCCATTACCCATACTACCCTTAAAACGTCTAGGAGTTACTACCCATACCCAACAGTTCCCCAAACTTAGCTATGGATCAGCTATATCAAAAATTAATTAATGAATACCTATAATTCTAATCAGAAAAACAGAATTAACCTAATCAAAATAAACAGAAGTTAAACTAACAAATTGACATCTAAAACAATTAGAGATCTTAATTCCAACAGGTTTAAATCGCGAACAAACTAACCAAATAACAGAAGGCTCTATGACTTAAAGCTATCATTTAAACATTTAATAAAAATCAGATCAAGATGACAATCAAACTAGCAGTCAAAACCAAATCAGTCAAGGACGATGAAACAAGGAAAATTAACTAAATCAGAATTATGCACCAATGCCACTGACACTAACCTAATTGCTACACTAAAAATCAAAACTAACAGGAGATTGATTAAAAGAAGAAAACAGCCAATACAAGAAGACAATCGATGGCTAAACCTAATTGCTGAAATTGGACTAAACACGAAAAAACACATGCAAACAAAAATTAAGCAAAGAAAGGAAACTGTTGAAGAAAAACTTATCTAGGGTTCCGCCGGAAAACTTGAAATCGAGATTCGAACTATTCCGGTCACATTTGAGCCGAACGCCCATGGGGTCTGATAGGGGAAGGCTAGGCGGTCTTATGGTGTTAATCTGGGCTCGATTGGGTTACTTTGGACTTTGGCCGGAAAATTTCAATTCAATATTCGAGACGCTCCGGACAGATTCGAGGGACGGGGTTTGGGGGGTTTGAAAGAGGAGGTAAAGGCGTTTATGTGGTGTTAATTTGGGGTGGTTTGGACGAAGTTGCGTCATGGCCGGAAAAGTTTAGATTTGATATTCGAGGCGACTGGATGGGATTCGAGACAAACTAAGATGGGGGTTGGAAAGAGGAGAGGAAGGTGGTTCTAGGGTGTAATTTTGGTGGCGTTTGGAACTCCGCCGCCGGCGGAGACGATTTCCGGCGGCGGTTACGGTGGTATTACACAGGGTCTGGTTTGGGTATATCGGAGACGACGACCTGGGGGTGGGGTGAGGGTATCCGACCGTTAAATATTAATTGACCCACAGTTGAGAGCCGTTGATCTATTGTACCTCGACGGTCTAGATTTGTTTGGCACTAAACGACGTCGTTTTGGTGAGGGGAGGGCCGGACCGGGTTAGGCGTTCGCTTGGGCCTGGACCGCTTGGGCCTGGCGGGTTGGGTGCAAAAATGGCCCAAATCTGGCCTTTAATTCAAGCCACTCTCTTTGTATTTTTATTTTCTTTTTAATTCATTTTTTTTTCTTTTTTTTTTTCATTTTGTAATTTTGTATTTATTTTTTCTAATTTTTACAAAGATGCAAAATTAAACTAACAATTAGGCTAAAAACTAATTAATGCCTAAAATTTATTTAATAACTATTTTGCGACAATTTCACAGCTAAAACAATAAAAACGCATAAAGTGAACTATTTTTGTCATTTTCTTCATATCCTATTCTAAAACAAATTAACCCCTAATTAATTCTAACCATGAAATTAAAATCTAAATACAAATGCGTATTTTTATATTTTATATGAATAAAGATGCACAAATACAATGCAAACAATTAACACAAAATGACACCAAAATTCACCAAAATTGTAAAGACAATAATAATTAAAAAAAACAAAATCGTTTTTGTTTGAATTTTGGGAATAATTTGCTTAGGGCATGGTAATTGTTTGGTAAACAAGATGAGGATCCAAAGCCTTCTGATAATTCCAAAACCCATATTGGTTCCTAATATTTTATATGATCTGTTAATGCCTTGTTAAGGTTAGAAATTCAGAGTATTGCGTGACTAGTTAAGGGTCTATGAGAAATTATAGTTGTTCCTACAGTTTAGATGATTAAATAAGTGAGAAAGTCAGATCGTCTCTATATATAGAAATATCCTTTTCTTTGAGAAAAGAATCGGTACAAAACGAAACTGGCGCAGACCAAGAGAATCGATTTCAAACGGTGTCATATGATATGATGGTCGCCCTTGTAAATTCTATTGGTTGTTGTAAAAGATTATTTGTGATTGATATCGTCAAGCGATTGCATCGCAAAACTACTGTCGTGATATTATTGTGAATGGCAGTGAAGTTGGATTTGCTTAAAACAGATACTCTATCCAAAAAAAAATGGAATGCTGAAAGTACTAAAGAAATTCAGTTACAAACTGATAATGATAAAAGATATAGAAAATTTCATTTCTAATGCAAGGTTTGCGTGGAAACTATTCTATTCTTTGCATCACAAGAAGGATGTGAACAAGAGAATGCCTCTAGTTTCGTCATAGAAGGCAGCGATCAGACCATTATCGAGAAACAGTGTCAAAATAATGAACTGAGAAGAAGGTAACAATAAAATCGGGTTCTACTTTCTTCCCTCTATTTCTTTAATTATTTGCCCGGTGTGATTATTAAAATTCTATTCCTATCAATGTCAGGGTAGATGCTTATTTGATGAGCTGAAAGTATATCCTATTTGCATGCTATAAAAGTGATGAGTTGGTATATAACTTTGGTACCATGCTTGAAATTATGTGAAAAATTATTTTCAAGGTTGTAAGTATATGTTAGACTTACATTAAAACTTGAAATTTGTTTTGAGATCATGAGGGTGATATCTTATATGTATATTATTTTTGATCAATAAAAATATACATATGTTAGTTTGATAAGAATAATATATGGGCTATCAATCGCAAGATAAGTCGCTTTCTCGAATGGCTGCTTCTCTCTGGGCGTACGTTAACTAAACTGCGCCGTCCATGGGGAAGAGGGAGCGCATCCTTCTCAGAAAGCTCTAATGGCTCAGGAATCTAAGGCATCACAAGCGGCAACGCAACGAGGAAGGAAAGGAAACCTAGCACCAGTTGAAGCATCAATTCGAGTCCGATCGACTATCGATCTGAGATCCTAGAGAAGGAAAGGGCCGGAAATGTGGAATTAGGCAAGGAACTAAGCTCACAGACTCAGAAGGCGAAGGAAGTACCAGTTGACGAGCCAATTCCCCCTCAACTCAATGTAACAGTGCAACAAGCCCAACAGATTTGGGCTGAGGTAGTAGGGACTGCATCAACTAGCAAGCAGAATGAGGCAATGAACTGTGGCAGGAAGTCATGGGCAGAACAGGTGGAAGAGGAAGTATCTCAATTGCAGTCGAGGAAATCAGCCTGGGATAATTTTGACATTGATAAAGTGTCAAATGCAGGGTTCAAATTAGAGTATGTGGCTCCCAAAATGAAAGGTGAGTCTCCTATGGTTGAAATTGAAATGGGAGATATCAGCTCAGAGATAGAGTATTGGAAAAATGCAATTGTATGTTATGTTTTGGGGGCTCATCCTCCATTTGAAGTAATCAAGGGCTTCATACAAAGGCTATGGGCTAAACATGGAATTAATAAAATTGCTATGCTTAAGAATGGGATAATCTTAGTAAGATTTGATACAATTGTAGGGAAGAATGATGCTATCCAAGGAGGAATCTATCATTTTGACAATAAGTCGTTCATTGTGAAAGCATGGGAGCCGAAAATGGAGTTTACAAGAGATGAACTAAATACAGTTCCTATATGGATTAGGTTACCAGGACTAGATTTTAAGTACTGGAGTCCTAAGTCTTTGAGCAAAATAGGGAGTTTGGTAGGGAGGCCAATGATGGTGGATCATAATACTGAGAAGTAGAATGGACTTAACTTTGCGAGGATGTTAGTTGAGGTTCAAATGGGGGCCAACTTACTAGAATATGTGAGGTTTGTTAATGAAAGGGGGATGTTAATTGAGCAGAAGGTGTCCTGTGATTGGAAACCAACGCTATGCACCCATTGTAATAAATATGGTCATGCAACAGATATGTGCAGGAAGAAAAGGAACACAGAGAAACAGGAGGGTCCAGTGGAGAAGAATAAAACAGCACCTGAGGGGGTACAAGTGCAAGCTATGGGGCAAGCTATAGCAGGTCAAAAAGAACAGAAGCAACAGGAAAATGCAAGTATAGTTATAACAGATAGCAGCAACCTTGTTCTACAAAAGAGTAAACCAACACAAGGTTTACCGACCAAGAAGCAGGTAGAGACAGTGTGGGTGACACACAAAGATCAGGAAGAAGCCAACATCATCAACAAGTGACAAAGCAGGGAAATAATGTGAATTCCTTTCAAGTGCTGGAACATGAGGCACAAGAAGGAGGAAAGGATAACTGGAGAAGAAATAGTCAGGTGTAAATGTGGATAAGAGGACCATATCCCACACTGGGAATGGTTAAGATACTAAGCTGGAACTTCAGGGGCTTAAATGCCCCAAATAAGCAAAAGGAGGTGAAACTCCTTTGCAATAGTGAACAGGCTAGATTGATTGGTCTACTAGAAACTAAGATAAAAAAGAATAAAATAGAAATGGTTACAGAAAAAATGTTTGGTGGATGGAGAAATGTTACAAACTTAGAGGAACACTACAATGGGAGGATAGTGGTGACATGGAGACCGGACTATTATAATGTGTCTGTTGTTTGCAAAACTGCCCAGAGTATCACGTGTGAGGTAATATATAAACCATTACAAATGACATTTGTGGTGACATTTGTATATGCTTTTAACACTAAAGAAGAGAGGAGAGAGCTGTGGAGTAGCCTGGTGGATTACCATGCTAGTTGTAAGAAGCCATAGATGGTGTTGGGAGATTTTAACTCAGTGTTGAGAGCAGAAGACAGAATTGGAGGGAACCCAGTTACTTGGGCTGATGTAGTAGATTTTCACACATGCATTCAGGATTGTGAATTAATAGAGTTTCCTTATTCAGGGAATCACTATACTTGGAATGATAAGAACAATGATCAGAGAATTTTTTCAAAACTAGATTGGATATTCATCAATAACACATGGTTGGATGTAATGCCAGCTTGCAGAGCAAGGTTCTTGTCAGAAGGCATTAGTGATCATTGTCCAGCCATGGTGACATTGGAGGATAGGAGAATTGGGATGAGAAAGCAATTCATCTATAGTAATGTTTGGGCTCAGCATCCTCAATTTACTGATATAGTGAAGACAGGGTGGAAAGTTCAAGTAGAAGGATGCAAGATGTTTAAGATTGTCAAAAGACTCAAGATGCTCAAGAAGGTTTTAAAGAAGTTAAATGCAGCCTACTTTAGTAACATTGTGACTGAGGCAAATGTGGACAGGGCAACACTTAAAGAGGTTCAGGAAAGACTACAGAGAGATCCCACTAATAGAGAGTTACAACTGGAAGAGGCCACTTTGTATACCAAGTTTAGACAATCATCCTATATGGCTGAGGTGTATTTGCAGCAGAAGAGCAAGGCTAAATGGTTGATATTGGGGGATGAAAACACTAAATATTTCCATTCTGTCATAAAACACAAAAGGTTACAACAAGCTACTACACAACTTAAGGATGGACAGGGTATCTGGCAGAATGATCCAACTGTTATAGCTAATATGTTTGTGAATTTTTACACTGATCTATTGGGAACTAGGGGAAATCAAGAGTGAGGTTATCTACCAGCATAATTCAAAATGGACCTTTACTGTCCTAACCACAACAGGTTGAGTTAATTAGACCTTTCAATAGGAAGGATGTCAAGGAAGCAATGTTTAGCATAGATAGCAACAAGAGCCCTGGGCCAGATGGATATGGAAGTGGTTTTTTTAAAGCTACATGGTCTATTCTTGGAGAGGAAGTCACTGAAGCTATACTGGAATTCTTTGAGAATGGAAGGCTATTGAAGCAACTGAATGCAACCATTATTGCACTTATTCCTAAAGTTGATAATCCAGAGTTTGCAAGCCAATATAGGCCAATATCATGTTGCAATGTACTCTACAAATGCATCTCTAAGATGATTTGTAGTAGACTAAAGGCAGCTGTAGCACACTTAGTGGAAGAGAACCAAGCTGCTTTTGTACAAGGAAGGTCGATGGTGCATAATGTGTTAATATGTCATGATTTGTTGAGGCATTACAATAGGAGAACATCACCTAGATGCTTAATGAAGATTGACTTGAGAAAGGCATATGATATGGTAGAATGTTCATTCCTAGGGGATGCAATGAGAGGATTTGGATTCCCTAATAAGTTCACAAACTGGATGATGACATGTGTTACTACAACAATGTTCTCAGTGAAAGTAAACGGGGAGAGCCATGGCTTCTTTGAAGGAAAGAGGGGATTGAGACAAGGTGATCCTGCCTCACCATTACTATTCATTTTAGTAATGGAATACTTATCCAGAACCTTGAATACAATGAGTGTGTTTCCTGACTTTAGATTCCATCCAATGTGTAAAGAGCTGAAACTCACACATCTCATTTTTGCTGATGATCTTATGATATTTGCAAAGGACAGGTGAAGTCTGTGTCAAGAGTACTAGAGGCATTGCAACATTTTAGTGAGGCTTCAGGTTTGATAGCTAATATGGATAAGTCCAGTATATTTTTAGCTGGGGTGACAGAAGAAGTTAAGGAGCAGCTACTAGAGAGAAGTGGATTCACAGTGGCAGAGTTCCCAATTAGATATTTGGGCTTGACATTATCCTCAAGAAAGTGGATTAAATTGGAATGCCACCAGCTGATAGATAAGATCACTAATAGGATCAAATTGGCATATACAAAACAACTCTCTTATGCTGGGAGATTACAGATAATAAACTCAGTTTTCTTCTCTATATACAACTTTTGGGGATCTGTGTTTATTCTTCCTCAAAGTGTGTTGAAGGAGGTAGATAGAAAGTGTAGAGAGTAATTATGGGGTGGCTCAGAAAATAAGAAGAAAGTATCCTTAGTTGCATGGGATAAAGTATGTTCCTCTAAGAAGAATGGAGGCTTAAATATCAAAGAATGTAGAATTTGGAACACGGCTGCAGTTGGAAAAATGGTATGGCAATTGGTAGTAAACAAAGATTCATTGTGGATAAAATGGGTACATGGTGTATACCTAAAGAATGGTGAAGACATCTGGAGGCACAAAGTACTTGCAGATAGCAGCTGGTACTGGAGAAAGATAAAAGGGCTAGCTGATAAAATGCAGAATTGGTACATACATGGTAGATATAGACTCACATCAACAGGAGACTACTCTATTAATATGAGTTACATGGAACTAAGGAATGACCATCCAAGGTTGGGTAATGCTGAATTAATTTGGACTCCTGTGGCACAGCCTAAGCATAGATTCATTATGTGGCTAGCTGTTCAAAATAGACTGCTCACTAGAGAAAGATTGGGAAAGTTGAATATACCAGTAGAAGAGTCGACTTGCTGTCTTTGTGATAATCAAGTTACTGAGTCAGCTGATCACTTGTTTAGTGGATGCCCATGGTTCCAGGATGTCAAACAAGGGGTGGAGCAATGGACAAGATCGCAACTGCCACTAGGAAGTCTGAAGACAGTACTACAGTGCATCAAAAAGAAGAAATGGAAGAAATTTCAAAGAGAGCGGGTTGCAGCAACATGGGGAGCAATGGTTTCTCACACTTGGAAGGCGAGGAACTGGAAATTGTTTAAAGGGACACATGTACAGGCGGCAGGAACAGTTATACAGATAAAAAGAGAGATTCTAGCTAGAGTAGACACAATTAGTTCATCACAGAAAGCTCATAGATGTAGGAACTTTATGGAGCAGCTGCAAATGTAATTAGTCTTTCTGTCTGTCTGTTGGAGGCTTGATCTCTGTATTTTTGCGAGGTCAAGTGCTCTTTAAGTGTAAGTATTTGTTTGTCAATGGTAATATTTACATGGTTACCAAAAAAATAATAATATATCAAACTATTGAATTATTTAGGGGCTACAATAGTTTAATTGGAAAGACATTTAAAAAGAAAATTAAAATACTTGTGATAATCTACCCCTTTTAAAAATCTGCGTGATTTTTTACTCGTTCCTTGAGATTAAAGTCTTTGTGACTTTCTACTCATTTGTCGGAAATTAAAGTCTAAGCGACTTTATACTCATTTTGGAGACTAAAATGTTAGTAATTTTCTACTACAATTTATTGTTCGGTTTGAATATTAAAAACTTCAGCGTTTATTAAATTTGATTGTATCACATATTACCGGTTTGAAGATTAAAAAACTTTACCGTTTGTTAGATTTAGTTATATCAGATATTAGCCGGTTTGAAGATTAAAAACTTCACCGTTTATAAGTTCTAAATGTGTCATATTGGTTTGAAGATTGAAAACTTCACCATTTGTTAATTCTGGCTCTGTCGTGGCACAAACAACAATTCTTTGCTCTACAACGTAATAGGGGCATCGAATATGAATCTCCTTTTGAAGAAATATGTTTGGAATATGAAATTATTCACCAAACGACCGCCCATTTGTCACCGTAATCTAATGGAATTGCGAAAAGAAAGAATAGAACGTCAAAAGAGATAATGAATGCCTAGTAAATAAGTTCTGGTTTACCCAAAACTTGTGGGGGAAAGCTATGCTTACAGCTAACCGAATACTCAATCAAGTTCCCCATAGCAAAACGCAATCTTTTCCATATGGAAAAAATGGAAAGGAAGAAAACCCAACTTAAAATAGATTAAAGTGTGGGGTGCTTGGCTAAAATGCAATTTCCTAAACCTAAAAAGGATAAAGATCGGATCGAAAATATATTGATTGCGTCTTCATATGATATGCAACAAATAGTAAGGCATATCATTTTCTGGTTCATATATCAGAAAATCCCGACATTCATACTAATACAGTAATCGAATCAGATAATGCTGAATTCTTTGAGAATATTTATCCGTATAAAAAAGAATGTGAGTCGTCTAGTGAAATATCTAAGCAACCTCGAGAAGAAACAAAGGAAAGTACACTTAATGAGGTGAATCCAAGATGTAGTAAACTTCAAAGGGCAACTACTTCCATTGAATCATATTTTCTGACTTTCTTGTTAGAAAATAAGCTTCAAACTTTGAAAGAAATTATGTCTTCCTTAGAAGAAGAAGTCAATAGTGAGATAGAGTCCATATAAATAATCATACTTGGGAATTGGTTGATCTTCCTCCAGGAAATAAACCTATGGATTGTAAGTGGATTTTTAAAAGAAAAATGAAGCTGATGGTGCTATTGACAGATACATGACAAGGTTAGTTGTCAAAGGGTTTAGACAACGAGAAAGTATTGATTACTTTGACACTTACTCACTGGTAACAAGGACTACATCTACTGGGGTGTTAAAACCGTTAGCCACCGTGTATGACCTTGAAATCCATCAGATAGATGTGAAGACAACATTCTTAAATGGAGATTTGGAGGAAGAAATTTATATGGAACAACCTGAAAGGTTCGTAGTTCCAAAAAAAGAAGAGAAGGTGTGTCGACTTGTTAAGTCACTTTACGGACTAAAAGAAGCACCAAACAAAGACATGCGAGATTTGACCAAATAATATTTTGCCAAATGGGTTGGAAATTTATGAGTTTAAACAAATGTGTTTACGTTAAAGAATAGTCCAAATCATGTAGTCATTATTTGATTATATGTGGAAGATATGTTGATTAAATATTTAAAATGCGGGGGCTTTTAGCTTATGCATGACAAAAGCTAATGTTAGACTTTATGTCTATATTATTTAGAAGAGTTAAATGATATACTTTTTGGACCCCACAAATCTTTAGTGGATATTGATATGGTAGTTGGTGAATTCATCAGTTGTTTAGTCTTAAGTGAAGACTAGTTGATGAAACTACTAATTCAAAAGTTGGTCAAGTGCCTTTCTCGAAAGATTATTTTCTTTACTGAAAATTTATATTGTTTAGTTCTTTTATGAAAGGATGTCACTTCGAAGGTTGTGACTTTTCATAGAAAGATACATCTGTACGTCTTTGCATGGACATGACCGTTCACGAATGAATATATTAATACGTTGGTCTATAATGAGGTGAACCAACCGATGAACATGTCCAAAATCAATTGCAGGTTGGATTTGTTTCATGAATGAAGGTGCTATAATATGCATATCATATAGACGTATGAATAAATATCATACAATTGCTTGAAAATGGCGGAGTGATTGCGAAATGTGTTTTATATTAAAAGGTTGTAGCCACAAGTAATGCCAATCATTCAAGTTGTTGTAGTAATATACTATTGCTACATTAAGTGTAATCAATAATTTGATATGCAATTGAAAGTCGAGACGTATTTGTCTATGACATAAGGAAGTTCGCATTAAAATTTCATGACAACGAAACGAGTCTTGAAATATACTCAAATTGCTTTGCACTACAATAAGTATCCCGCGATAATGGAGGGGTATAGTGATGCAAATTAGATCACCGGTTCAACCGATTCTAGATAGTCGGTGGAGGAGCGATGTCTTAGAAATTGTCCAAACAAACGTGCATTGACCGATCTACAGTGGAGGCTGAGTTTATAGGCTTAAACATGGCCGGTGAAGAAGTTGAATAGCTCCTAAATTTTTTGGAAGATATTTCATTTTGGCCCAAAATCATTGGCACATATATGCATATATTGCGATAGTCAAGCGGCAATAGG